CGAGGTTGGATGTGTTTTTCAGACAACGACGAAGCAGCCGAAGCCGCTTTCATGGATTCCCATGCAGAAACACTAATAAATGACTGTGGAGAACCCGTATCCAAAATAGCGATACACCCAAACTGCATAGAGGCCGAACCGCTGTGGAGGAGGATTCTGGTGGTGAAAGAGTCGTCATCGATGGTGACAACACCACCAACCAAATCCGGACCTTGCTATGGGAGCGAGGAGGAGGACGACGGGATGTATTCTGAAGACACGACCCAAACGGCGATGTCGTGATCCGACGGGACATTCCGAGCGTATTGCGAAAATGACGCGAACCGGTCGGTCGATGGAGGGCACGAAGCCGTCCGAAGGCGCTGGTGTGTGGGAGGGTTAACTTCATACACCGCAGAATGAAGGGACGACGTCGGAATGTGGTCGGTCGGAGGCAGCAAACGAAAGCTGCGCTCGGGAGGAGGGGCGCGGTGTCGTAAAAGACTGCGTACGTTCTGTAGGGCGGTGCCTAACAGGTTGAGGCCGCGCCATCTAGATTTTCATCCAGCGTCAGGATGATCGGCCTGGAGGCCAATGCCCCAAACACGGTCGTAAGGACTGGCTTCGGCAAGGATTTTGTCACCAGATCCGAGGAGATGATTTCGTAACTCGGAATTTTGACTAAATGTTGCGTAAGAGCCGGTGAGCACAATGATTTCGCGTTCTTGTTCCCAAAGAGATTGGTCGAAACCACGAACCTCACGGCCAAACTTGTTGTGTAAGGCCAGGTCTGACACTCGCATGATGTTGTGCAAAGCACAGCAATTTCCGAAAAGATGGGCTTTTTCTGCAGTGAAACACTGTTCGGCACACGTGTAAACAACGCCATCGACCGTGAAGGTCGACGGTGTTCATTGGGAAAAAGGCGAGGGCGGCTTCCAAAAGAAAACCATGTCTGGAGTACAATACTCGGTAGACGGGTCGAAACCGGCCGAAGCAACAGAGGCCGGAGCGCCCTGAGTGCTGTTAGACGAAGCTGGAGTCGCAGCCGAAGATGCGGGAACTGACGAAGAATCGACTTGAGTCGGATTGTTCGTAATTGGGCCGGCAACACTGGGCTGGGTGCACCCCAATTCTAAACCTGAAGAAACGCCTCGTAACGTGTTCGGCAACAGGTCGCTTTCGCTGGGAACGGCTGCCAAAGCCGGGTTAGTTAAAGAACTGAACCGAGCATGGCGCTCCTGGCTATTCCCCCGTGGCAAGGTACGCGAGACCGCCGGCTGTTCGGAGGTCACTTCGGGGGCGTCCCCCCGAAGCGGTGGTGTCAACACTGTCGACGTTGGTCGCAGCAGCCCAGAAGTGGGTGCCGTTCTGCGAGCGTGCGTCGGAGAAGGTGGGGCTTGTAAAGACGACCCACGGTCGAAATGTCGCGTGGCGGAATCTGAGGATGTCCGGTGGTCGGAACCAGGGGGACAAGGCGATTCGAAGCAAGACGAATTTGACCCTAAAACTTGCCGGTTGGAAACAGTCAAGTTAGCTATCGGTGCAACAGTCGAAGGCGGACCTTCAACGGAAGCGAGCATAGACGAATTGAGCGTATCCGAAGAAGAACCTGAGGCAATCAATTCGGGCAATTTATAATCAATCGTCCAAAGGTCATGGCTACTGCCGATCCCATCTGCAGACGACGGGGAGAGCGAACGCGAGGTGCTCGACGAACGAGGAGAACTCTTTGGCCCCGAAGGTCCAACAGGTCTGTTCCGACACCTCAACACAGCACTCACGTCAGACTGATTAGTTTCCGACGAAGCAGCAATCCGACGAGGCGAGGGTGCAGAGGTCGCAGACGATAAGTGCGATGGCGAAGGTGGGATTTGAGCATTTGGCTGAATACCGACCTGATCGACACTTGAAGAAACAGCGTGTATCCGACTACCGCTGTCATTGGATGGCACCGAAGTGCGAGAGCGCGTGGGGAGAACATTTACCGAAGTATTGTTGTAGTTGCTTCGGACCGAAGTGCTAGAGGCAACAGAGCGCGTAGGGAGAACATGTACCGAAGTACTTTTGTCGGTGCCTAAGACCTTANTGGCTGAATACCGACCTGATCGACACTTGAAGAAACAGCGTGTATCCGACTACCGCTGTCATTGGATGGCACCGAAGTGCGAGAGCGCGTGGGGAGAACATTTACCGAAGTATTGTTGTAGTTGCTTCGGACCGAAGTGCTAGAGGCAACAGAGCGCGTAGGGAGAACATTTACCGAAGTATTGTTGTCGTTGCTTAAGACCGGAGTGCTAGAGGCAACAGAGCGCGTAGGGAGAACATGTACCGAAGTACTTTTGTCGGTGCCTAAGACCTTAGTGCTAGAGGCAACTGAGGGTGATACACGCGCGTCTTGTTTTGAGCGAGACGAAGTTCCCAAAGATGCTGGAGGCGGTCCGAGGGAAGGAGGCGAACCACCGTCGGGAAGTCATCCGATACGCGAACGGCCGCCATTGTGGAAGGTACCAGGCTAGNGAGGCGAGGGTGCAGAGGTCGCAGACGATAAGTGCGATGGCGAAGGTGGGATTTGAGCATTTGGCTGAATACCGACCTGATCGACACTTGAAGAAACAGCGTGTATCCGACTACCGCTGTCATTGGATGGCACCGAAGTGCGAGAGCGCGTGGGGAGAACATTTACCGAAGTATTGTTGTAGTTGCTTCGGACCGAAGTGCTAGAGGCAACAGAGCGCGTAGGGAGAACATTTACCGAAGTATTGTTGTCGTTGCTTAAGACCGGAGTGCTAGAGGCAACAGAGCGCGTAGGGAGAACATGTACCGAAGTACTTTTGTCGGTGCCTAAGACCTTAGTGCTAGAGGCAACTGAGGGTGATACACGCGCGTCTTGTTTTGAGCGAGACGAAGTTCCCAAAGATGCTGGAGGCGGTCCGAGGGAAGGAGGCGAACCACCGTCGGGAAGTCATCCGATACGCGAACGGCCGCCATTGTGGAAGGTACCAGGCTAGCGTGCGTTGTGATTGGTCGAAACCATGACGCCAGACGAGGGACCAGTTTGAGCATGCGATTGGGGTTGATAGACGGACAGAGCACCAGGGTGGTGGGTGTTGCCAGACGTCTGTGGTGTGTGATGATGGTTACCCGCGGAATGTCCCGAGGTTTGACCACCGTGGTGTGATTGTTGGTGGTGATTGTGAGAGGAACTACCACCGTCGGAACGGCGAGGCCCAGCGTGGTTTCTACGCTGAGAGGAGGAGGAAGAAGACTGCCGATGGCGTCTACCCTGATTGTTGTTGCGTCCATCTGAACGCTTACGCCTGAAGGATCGCATGCGACCTTGCCAACGCCTAAAAGCAGCAGAGTCATCATTGAGGTGACCCAACGCGGGATTCAACAACCCACTAGAATTCTTGAAAGGGGGAGCACATTGCTTCATGGAATGGTCATCACGCGAGCAGTTCAGACAGCGGTTTCTGTTTTCGCGAAAGGCTTGCGAACGAGCCTCTTGTGTCAACAAAGGAGTCCATAAAAAAGGATCATCGGTGTTACGAAAATTGGCGGTGAGGGCGTATACATCAGACCAGTCGGCTTGCGAAGCAGGCCACGAGTTGTAGTTGTGCGTGAAAGGATCCGTGGCTTGAGGTTGCACGGGCACAACTATAGGGTTCTGTGCGGAGCCGGATGCCCACTGGCCCGAAGACGCAGGGGCGCGGTGGTTAGACCGGCGAGACTGCAGAGAGCCACGGGTCGAAGTCAGCGAAAAATAAGATGAACCACGATAGCCGCCAAGTGTAAAGGACATGCACGCTCGGTGCAATCTGGGAGACCCGTGAAGACGAACTCACTTGTTATTAACTCGTGTGGAACAGCGGTAGCTGTTGCCAAGGGAAGATAGAGGACTGACTAGGATGGGGCCAGGATCAGCTGCTAAAGCAGGGGCTACTAGATCCTGTCCCCTGCTTTGTCCTTCCGTGGGGAGTTGCATCTTCCGCACTTTTCTCTGAGCATTAGCCCGCACTACCGTTTGTACCTTCCTACGCGTTCAAATCCCACAACACTATCAGATCCACTGGGTTTGGCTACGCGCCGAGAGTGTATCTTTTATTCGATAAAGGCTGACCATTGGACTACATGCACATTCATCGGTGACTGTGCACGTAGTCAAATGGTCAGCCTTTATCGAATAAGCCCTGCCTGTTTCCCACGTCGATTTCTCGGCACATGTTTGGGGGTAGCTTGAAGTGCTCGAAAAAGGACGTGTCGGAGAGCAGGTCAGCATTCAACGAGAAGAGGACCGTGCCGAAATAACAACAGCAACTATGAAATTACCTCTCCTCACCTCACCCTGGACGGAGTCGTGGCCTACGGGTGGGTACCTGCTAGCGTCAAACCCTTTCTTCTTGGTGATGTAGGCTCTCCCCTTCGCCACGTCTGCCACGGAGATGCATCGCAATTTATTCCCGTTCTCCTTCGGTCCTTCGGGACCAAAGCCGAGAAAACCGCAAGAGGGTGTGAGAGGGAAATGAACACGGGGTCAAAAAGACACATTATAGCGGCTCGAGCATTGCTTCCAGGGGAGATAATCGAGTTGTCTTTTGGGGCACTCCCACCGGTACTCAAGATCCGTTTCATGTGGTGGCTCCACGTATTGCTGGGGGCGTCTACGAGATCTATGAGATGCCCCACAAACGAAATAGGAACCGGAAACATGCGTACCTTCTCCTCAGTGCCCAAAGCGTACGAACTGGCTTTGGTAGCGGACTTGCTGAAGTACACTCCCGGCCCGAACCGCGTCGAGGTCTTCCCGAGCTTGAAGCCTTGCAAGCAAATGTCGCAAGGTTGCAGCCCTGCTGCCCGCACGGGCCAGCGTTCTGATACGTACGAATTCGACAAACACCATAGAAAATCCTGAACAGCGATTCGCCAGCCCAGCCCACCTTCGGGTCGAGGATAAAGTTGCATGAGCTTCGGCAAGAGGTTCCATGGAAGCGTTGGTCGACATTCCCGAACCGCCGTACGTAGTTTAGGTGCTTCTGACGAACACTTTCGGAAACCTTGAGGAGGAGGCAGGTCGCGACAATTCAAATTTCGTCAGCACCCCGGCGTTGTTGGCCGAAAGGGCAGACCGGCACTTTCGGGGCATCGGCTTTCTACAAGAACACGCGGCCCTCCACTTTGTATTGCCCACCGATGGCCATTTCAAGTCACAGTGTCTTGACGCCGTATCGTTACACGGTGGTAGTCGTTACACGAAGAACAAGGAGGAATTCAACCTCCAACAACGTGCCGTCCTGGCGCCACCTAAATTCCAATCAACTACGAATAGGAGGACACACTACTCTGTAACAAGGTTCTCTTCCAACAAAGACTAAGATTTGTTGCAAAATATTCTTGTACAACCCTTTTGATGAGAAAGCTCCGGGGTGTGTGTGCGTCTAGCTTACCGTTCTGCGATCAGCACTGAATGCGGGGACAATAACACCGACAGACTGAACACCGTGCTACAGCAAAAATATGCTCAAGCGGCGCACAGCCAAGCTGGTCAATATCAATAACCTTTACCACATGACTTCGTCTGGAGAGGGCCGCACCGTGATCCTGAACATTCGCACTATTGCTACCCGCTAGGCGCCTCCCAACCGGGGTAGAAGTCGGCCCGCAGCCGGGTGCAGTCTGGATGGGCGATACCCAGGGGGATAAACGTGGCACTTGCACCCTGGCTGCTCAAGACGGTGATAAGACCCCCAATGAGCGGCACTTTGTTCACCTCTAGACCCTAGCAACACGAGCGATCGACACATCGGCGACCACGAAGAAGGTTATCCCACTTTACACGGCGTCGAATAAAGTAGGGGGGAAGGCAGCGCTCTTGATGGTACTATCTACTTCTCGGTCAGCACTTATTCTACCCCCTACAGTGGTTCTTCTTTTTCTTCCTCTGTACAACACGAAGGAGGGTATGAGTGTGCGTTCGTTCCGAGTGCATATAGGCAGGGTCGGTCAAACGAGAGACCTTCGACAGCGGCGTCCAACTTGTACTTTGTACGGCAGTACTATTGTACTGTACCTTCGGGGTACGCCATTGTTTTTTTCCTTGTTTTTCTACCTACCACGCAGATGGGGCACCTTACATCCTCCGAAAAGCGGATCGGCAGCACAAACCTACAAAATAGATATCTACGATTAACATCCCCCACCTTGTTGAATGTTCTGCTACACATAGTCTACATGTCAGGATCCGATAGCAAGTTTCACCTGCAGCTGAGTCGAGACTTCGAATTTCGAACAAGTTTCACCTGCAGCTGAGTCGAGAGACTTCGAATTTCGCCGGCTTGCTGGCTGAGCGACTGCGTTAGCGTTGCCACCTGCTTCCGCAAGTTTTTTTCCACCAGTAATGCCAACCCGCTCCTGCTCTATTGCTCCTCTGTACGGGACAGCCCTCGGCTGTTTTTGTCTTTCTGCAACGTCACCACCTGATTTCGCAGCTCATCTCCACGGATTGCGCCTGGATATTCGTCCGACGAAGGAAATGCATGGTTTTCTCCTGCATCGTCGTCTTCGCTTTCTCTTCTCTTTTGGCCACCTCAAAGGCCGCCTTCTCGTCCTCAACGGCCTTCAACCGGGCCGCGGCCATCTCCTCGCTTCTCCGCGGAATGTCGTGTAGCTTTAGCAAGGACACATGCAGTCCCTCGATCATCTCCTCTTCGTTGCCCGTGCGCACCAACCCTTCATGCTTTCTCAGCAGTCTCTCGTCGACGGGGTCTTCACCCGGGGACTCCTTGGGTCCGTAGGATTGTCGGGATGGATCAACCTTTGTCTTCTCCTCCTCTCCATTGCCGTCGGGTTGAACCTGCCCAACCCGCGGCAAGATGCCCCCAAGCTCACCTGCGAACAAGATCATGTGTGCTGCCGCCGCTTTTGCTGGTGGCGTAGTCTCTTCTTCGGCCTGCGCCGATCCTTCTTGCGGCGGAGTCTTCGCCGTCGACCATTTTGAGCTGCACCAACGCCAGTGGGTCATTCTTTGCCAAGCCTTCATTCTGTCACGACCAGAGCCTTTCTCGCTACAGCAGTACAGCATCAGCGTGCATCGGTACGCGACACAAGCGGCGAAATTCGGAACGAACCGAATGCCAGGACCGTTCCCAGGAAATGTCTCAAGGAGAATGTAGGAAGCACTGAGAATTTTCGCTGACGAATCACAACAGTCTAGCAGTACCGTAGTCTATGTTGTAGGCGTGAGTCGTCTGGTTCACGCTGTATCAAAGACTTTTCCCATTATCTATGTATGCATACGCATGTGCTCAAAGCGATGGCTGCCAATACGCGCCGCAAAACCTACCGAATGCCACACGGCCACCCCAGAGGATTTCGTCACTGCTGGTGTGAAAATAATCCGACTCTGTACTAATGCTGTTGTCTTGAGTGACAGGTACTTTTGTTTTCTGCTGTCTACAATCGACCCGTTTGACAAGGTGACGGTTCACGTTGTAACCTGGTATAGTACACGAATTTACCCATCACTTATGATGTGTGTCTCTAGTGGCTTAGGTGAAACCTTTGTCCATCATTGTATCTCCGCACATCACCTTCTGACAAGGGTGTTGTTGTTGTTGTTGTTGTTGTTGTTGTTGTCGTCACATTAAAAACCGTTCCGATCTCTTCCTACCCAGTACCTTCGTATGTCCGTACTGATACAACACTCGACGTGGTCGATTCCCGTGGTCGCAGGCTAACTTACCCTAAAAAGGTACACCCAAATGAAATGGCCCCGAGGGGTCCGCAAGTCAATAGAAATCAACGACAGATATTCTGGAGTCCTCCACTCCCTCTACAACTGAGACTAGGAGTCACCATCACGGGCCGGAGAGAATGAGGTACACCCCCTTGGTTCAATCTTGGTACTTCACAACGCAAGCAGAGACAAGGCCATCTGGCACAGAAAACGAGAGAAAAAGAGAAAAAGAGAAAAAGAGAAAAAAATAAAAGGAAACAGCAAGAAAAAAAGAGAAAATGAAATAATAAGAGGACAAAAAGGAACCAGGCCGAAAACAACAAGAAATAAGAGACAGAAAAAGGCACACGGTGGAGAGACCACTAACGACAACCAAACACGCAAACATGGCCACCAAAGATACATTGTATTGGTACGTCATCACTAGCGGGGGGTTGGTGCAATGGTGCAGCGTTGGGGGGGGGGGAATTGGCTAAAAGAAATTCAATCCGGCACGTATCGCGCCACTCGGTCCGTCTCTTCTCGTTTGCTTTCTTCCCTCGCCGTCTCGTCCGTCTCCTGCCCCCCTCCCGCCCCATTGGTTGGTGGCTTGTGGTTTCGTTTGAGCGCCCGTTGTCGGCTGGCCTCTTCTTCCTTCTCGTGCCAGGAGGTCATGAACCTCTCAGCTCCCTGCAGCACCGCCGCATGCCAGGGTACTCCCCCCTCTACCTTCGCGGCTTCCGTCCACTTTACCTTCGGGGTCGTGTCTTTCGGTACCGGGATTCCGAGACAACATGGATCGGTTTTCGTAGATCCGTGGTCGGCCCCGAATGCCTTCAGGTCGTCGAGCACACACTTCGGCCAGTTCTGTTCCTGTCCCCCCCTACGTCGCTTCTCCCCCCCTGCCAGTTCGCCGAACATCAGTCGTTTCGGGAGTCGCCCGTCCGGCTGCCTTGCCAATGCTCCCGCGAACAGTAGGCGTCGTTGTCGGATCGTGGCTTCAACGCTCTGGCATTCGACCCTCTTCAGCGTCTGGGCGTAAGAGAGCTGCCGGTAGGTGTCTTTCTTGCGCTTGTACCCGGTAACTCGAAGGAGCAGTCGGTGGTGTATCGACCGCAGCGTCTGATAGTTGCCTCTGAGTGGTGACCATGTCATGCAACCGTACAGCAGTGCCTCCATCGCCTCCGCCTGGAGCAGGCGGATCTTGAGTCGGAATGGCGCTTGCGGTCTGTCGAAGAGCTCCCGGCCATATCGCCTGAGGCACGCCCACGCTCCTCTGCTCCTGTAGTATCCCCCGGGTGAGGTCGCCATGTTCGTTGACGAGGCCACCGAGGTACAGGGACTCGGTCGTCTGGGCGTATTTCTGTCCCGCGGCTTCGATGGTCAGTGGTGGAGGCGGGGCGGGCTGTGATGTGGTAGTCGGCTTGTCCTTTGCGCGCATCAGGAGCGTCTCCGTCTTCTTCTCCGACACCGTTAGCCCGAACTCCCCGAACCCGTCAACGATGATGGTCATCATTCTCGCCAGTCCTTCTGCAGACCTCGATACGACGCCGGCATCATCGGCATACAGCATCCCCCATACTGCCCTCCGTACTCGGTCAAGGGGTGTCTCCTCCCCCCCCCCCGCTTCCGTCTTCCCCTCCTCCAAGCACACCAGGCTCCGCAGAACAACATCATCCTCGCTGAATCGGATGACAACGACCTCGAGGACCTCGGCGAAGAAGATGTTGAACAGCAGTGGGGATAGCACACATCCTTGTCGCACGCCCTGTGTCACGAAGAACCAGTCCGATAGTTCTCCGTCGGTCATGCGCACCCGGGCCCGCATTCCATCGTGGAATTGGCGGATGACTTCGATCAGCTTCGCGGGAATCCCGGCCCTGGTCAGCACCTTCCATAGCATCTCTCGGTCCACCGAATCATACGCCTTGTTCAAGTCGACGAAGCACATGTAGAGCGGTATTTTTTTTCTCCGCCCCAGCTCCTGGAGTTGGCGCACGACGAACAGCATGTCGACGGTGGAGCGCTCGGGTCGAATTCCGCACTGTTCCTCCGGGAGGATGTTGTTGGCTTCGCAGAAGGCGCTTAGACGGTTGGTGATGATCTTGATGGGAACCTTGCCTACGTGAGATAGTAGCAAATATCCCTGTAGTTGTTACAGTTGGACCGGTCACCCTTCTTGTACAGCACCTTGATGGTTGCATCCTTCCACTCTCGCGGAATATCTCCTCCGTTCCACACCTTGACGAGGATGGTATGGAGGTGTCCCAGGACGAAGGGTTCGTCGTCATCGATCTTGAGCAACTCGGCAGGGAGGGAGTCATGGCCGGGTGCCTTCCAGTTCTTGAGGCCTTTCGTTGCCCGTGCCACCTCCTCGAGTTCTGGCACATCTCCCAACCGTTGAGTGTCACGTGTCGCTGGCCGCTGCGTCACTCGTGTGATGATGTCTGGGTTCAGGTTGGGGGATTTCATGTTGAGTTGGGTGCTGAAGAATCTCGCTCACCGTGACGAATTGCTGTCCCCCCGCTTGTCTCCCGCTGAGGCCCACTGATCTCTTGAGGTGTTGGTACAGTCCTCGCATGTCGC